AAAAACAGAACAGACAACAACATGAACAGAGACAACCCTGACGTTGCCCAGGACACAACAAATGTAGGTACGAGCACAATGACCACAGCTACCGCCGATTTTTCCAAAATCAACAGTCACACAAGGGCGTGCATCGACGCGGCATGTCAGACATCATCCAACATGATAATATTGACAATTAAGGCATATATTGACCAGAACAATGAAACACAAACAACCATGATCAATAAATTGAACGAACGTCTCAACTTATGCTTTGATCAGATCCAGCAAACTCAACAGCAACACAACGCCAGTTTATAGCAAACCAAGCCCACAACCATGAGTTCAATATACCCAGAACCCAGCTTCATGAGAAACAAACCAACATCAGTAATAGAAACCAGCAAGGACCCAACACTCATTCAGGCACAATCAAACATGCACACCCAGCCCAGTTCAATCTCTTGCGGAACATTACATTACAGGAGGCTCCAAGCTTACAATCCGTCAATGAAACAGTAATCGCTACCCCACCACCAAGGCTTCCAATGACCGATTGTGAGCTAAACCTGCTCAAACAGCTAGACCCCCAATACTTCTACATTCAAACACCCATCAACTTGCTAGCTCTTTGGCTTCTAACAAACTCACACCCCAACTGCCTATTCATAGAATACATTATCAATGGCATTAGGCAGGGCTTCAGGTTCAATTTCAAAGGCACTCAAACCAAGCTCATCCAAGACAACCTCCCGTCAATAAACACGGACCCTAATGCGTTCACATCATACATTACGAATGAATTAGCAAACAAGCGTATTTGTGGTCCTTTCCACATTCACAACCCACCATGCAATTTGTTCCAGATCAATCCATGCAGCCTGGTTGAAAAGAAGAACATGACCCCCATAGCATATCGAGTCATCTCCCATCAATCAGCCCCACCTCACAATATAGTCAGAGAAATTGCCAAATATGGAAATCGAATCTAGAATAATCTGCAAAAATTTGATTGGCTATCAATTAATACTTTTCACATTTTTTTTCATTTTCTAATTGTACATTAAAAATTCTTGTACTACTTATATACCGCCAGTAATTATATGAACCCGT